AAAAAAAAAAAAAAAAAAAAAAAAAAAAAACAAGAAAAGTGACGACGAAAGGAAGAAAGGGAAAAGCTCGACCAAGAGATACACAAGGGAGTATGTGGGACGGGAAGATATAATAAACGAAGAGAAATTACATTAAAAAAATACCGCGCAGGCTTCGCAGACATTCCAATGGCGTCAGTATAGTAATTTGCACTGACGTCATAGATTTTTCGTAAAAAGTTAAAAAAAAAGAAAAGAGAGAAAATCCAAAATTTTTTTCTTCTCAATATCAACTACAAGAAAAATCATCTACTTTCTCAGCCGTCGATCAATCAACGACTGACTACAGCTTATACGTTACCTGAATCTAACGTGTTAAACGTAATCGAAATGTAATTCATGCATTCTACATTGAATCGATCAACGGGATGACGCAACGATAATGAAGTTTTTTGTAATTAAAAAAAAAAGATCTTTCTCTCTCACTCTCACACGCCCTCACCTACGACAGAGCACACGCGTGAATAATAATTTTTACGAAGAAAAATAAGTGTACAATACGATCTCGACATCATCGTGCATCTCCCGACGTTCAGACCGTCACACACGAGCACGCATTCGAATTTGGCTAACAATAATGACAAGAAAAAAAAAATTTGAAAAATAAAGTAAAATTAATCCTTACGGTTTTACCTCGATGCATCGACAGTGATAATAATCGCTGCTACATTATTTACATAAATTGACACAAATCTGAGGTACAGATCGATCGCTAGCTTCGGGGATGATAAGGCGAGATAAGGAAGAGACGGGATGAAGTGGTCCAGTGTAAGGGAGGCTTCGAGGAAAACAAATTAGCCGCGCTCGGTACAAGATAAAAAGTTGGACCATTAGGTACGGTATACATATATAGGTTTTTAAGGGCAAAAGATTAAAAAAAATATATATATATATATTATTAAATCACGATAAAAAAAAAACCCTTTCGATCCCCGTTCGATTGTCTTGTGCAATACCCATTGATTCGTCATCGATTCATTTGTCGAATAATTCACGCGAAGGTAATCGTGTCGATGTACGTGGGTCAAGGGTCAATTTCATTTTTTACAGCAAAGATTGACGAGCGTCGACCGCCGATTGGAAAACAACAAGGAGCGAGTGCAAGGGACTTTTTTTTTTTTTGGAGAAAATGTCAAACGAACGCAAAGCTTCACGGTTAATTATACGAGCGAATACTCGATACATTAATCGCTACCACCTTGACTAAGGAATTGGATAAGGCCGTAAGTCGCGTGCAAGATCCGAGCGAGCGCGTGACTTTTTTTAAATGACAACTACGAATTAAGTAACAACCGACTAACGATTATAGCCGGTAACGCGTGCGTCATTTACAATCGTCAACCCGACTTCCCGGCCAGGAGAAAAAACCCCGAAGCTAGAGCCTTCGCCTTCTACTTCCTTGTTTCAACGTTATTCACGAAACCACTATCGTCAAACCGCAACGGCTTATCAGTGTACTCGCGTCGTAACAATAATAACACGTAGGGCTACGTTATAATAAAAGAAAAAAATGTATAACGCATTGTATCGAATTGTGTGTAAGAAGAAAGAAAGGAAAAAAAAAGAAAAGAAAAAAAAAAACGAAAAACGTGCTCAAGACAACATAAAGACAATTGGTGTTGCTGTATACGGTGTTCTCAACTTGGATTTTGAATTTTTTTTTTTTTTTTTTTTTTTCCAAAATCTACCTACGTGGACTACCGACGTCCAAAGATTTTTATACTCTTTCCTCGATGAACTGTCAATTGCGATAACCGACAACCCAGCTCGGATTTGACATACAAGGCATTTCTCTTTGAGTCGCCTGAGAGAAAGAGCTACGATTTAACATAAGGGATGGACAAAAAGTACCATCGGAATAAGGAAGGGGAGGGGCGATTTTCGAAAAACAAAATGCATCACTCATTTCACTTCAACGCGGGAGAAGCGCGGCTTTCGTCTTGCGGTACGGAATAGTCACGGGAGAAACGTACAGATGGCGCGCGCGACAATGGAGAACGTTGATTTGATTTCGAAAAAAAAAAAAAAAAAAAAAGACACCAC